TTGGTTGTCTTTCATTTATACTCCCTTCTTCTCAACCACATCTCTTTCCTCTTCCTAAACGTATCCCTACTTCTTTCCCTCTCTCCACGAAATAATTTCTTTTCAAAATCCGCATTCTTTCTAGTATAAATTCAACAATATATGTATTAATGCTTACACTCACTGACATCGCCAAGAGCCAATAACATCATGTGACCAGTAACAGCAACCGTTAGAATACTGAAAACGTCGTTTTCTGTAAAAGTGTGTGTAATTTGCAGCTATTGTTTTTTGTCTATGGAATTTTTTTTCAATAGATGTCGCAAGAATGTCGAAACAAAATGTAGCGTTGACAAGACTATGCCAGTTTAAACTTGAATTTTCCCTCCAACGTAGACTTTGGAAATAAAATTCTTTTATTGGTAAAATAACTGTAACGATGGTTCATCTCGTTTTATCAGCACTTTAAATCATAAAGCAAACAGGTTATTTGCTCAAAGAAATAATTCATTTTGCTGACAATATTACTGTTTACTTACAAATGCGTTAATGCTAACTATATATGTTCACACTAACTTCGTTNTCTATGTATTTTTTGAATTTTGATTCCTAAATTTAAAGCTTGTTTTAAATTTTTATAGTGAATGATATATTTTTTTTTATCAAAAAGGGTTGTTAATAGTTTAGGTGTTTTTGATGTAGATGTTGGAGGAACTAAATGTTCTGGAAGTAATGGTAAATCCTTATGTGTTTTATGAAGTGTGCTTGGATAATGTGCATCAATTTCGAATATGTACCCATATTTTCCATTATCTGAAATTTTATCAATATCGATGGAGTAAATGTCATTTACCCATTCAAATTCACCTTCAGGAAGCGGAAAACTCATTGCGTAACCGTATAAATTATTTACGTCATAATACATAAGATATGATACTGGTTCATTTGGGTTATATTCATCGACCATGTATTTATTATTTGCTTTCGCGTAGCGGTTACTACATTGTGATATTCCACCCCTAATACCTCGTTCAATAAACATTATCATATCAATGTCAGTTAACAATTCTAGTTCAATTTCGGTGGTTTTTAGCATACTATCAAAAGCAAGTCCAGGAGCAGTGTAATAATGCAAACTATCTAATTTATACGTCATCCAACAGGTCGATCTAAAGTTTTCAAAAATGTCTGCAAGTAGTAGGACGTCTGTTTTTAAATATAATTCGGCATATTCTTGTAAATTTCTTATTTCAAAGGTTTGCCAAACATCGCACGCGTGCTTGTATTCATTTTCAGTTATATGACAATTGGAAATTCTACTGTAAAAATGTTCTTTTGATGGTAACTTTGTATCTTTCAATTTTTCCCAACAGTCAAGATAATCATATGGAAAAATACCTTTACGTTGAAGTAAATCAAATTCTTTTTCGTTTTGACAATGTTTTCTAGTAATTTTCTTTTGTTCTTTACCTAAATAAGACGATAATTTATCTAAACTACTAGCCATAAAGCGTAATGAATCTAAAAATCTAAAATTTATATTAGTATTTTTAACATACTTTGAAAATGAAATATACTTCTCTTTATTCACTGGTAATAAGGAAATATGACCTTCTATTTCAGTACATAAAGTCTTTAATATAAAATGACCTTCGTACCCAGATAAATTGTGAAATATTACTGGAATTGAATGACTATCTTTATAATTTAAGTTACATTTTGAGTGTGCCGGACCTCTATAATTACCTGTAAGATGACAGTGATCTTTTACTTTAATATTATCGTGAGTGAATGATTTATAGCAAATATGACACCTTTCCGCTTTAAAAAATTTACATTCTTCTTCATAAATCAGTTTTTTCATAGGAATTACATTAGAAAAGGTATTTTTGAAAATAAACGCCATTCGTTCAAGTTCACAAGACACAGTCCTTTCCAGTATATAGTTTAAACTCAGAAAATGAGTCATCATATGAACATTTTAGGTAATATGCAATGCTCAAAAGGCTCATGTTTTTGATACTTTTGCGTTTTGCATGTAGAGTTTGCATCGGAATATTTAAGAAGTAAACATTCTAGATCTGCATATATTACGAACGGTATATATGTACTTTATAATATATGTATACACTTTGAAGCAGACTTATTTAATTTTTTCTACTTTAACGAAGCAATTTTTGCTGTGCACACTTTAACTGACGTGTTTAATTTTACACATTTCTGACACTGATGTTGCTAGTTCAAATTTTATGTTGAACATTTTGCTGCCTTCAAAAGTATTTGGAAGTACTATTGACATCAGTATTTTGAAGGGAATGATTAGTCTAAATAATTTCAATAAATAGCTATCAGTTCAGAGTGTACACATCATACTTCCACAACTTGATATTTATTCCTCTTCCACCTAACTGTCTTTTGATTGTAAACCTTTCAACAGCAGAGTGTATGTGATGCATGTTGTATTTGTTGCACTTAGTTCTAGTTAGCCTATTAAGTGAGTCTAAATCAGTATCAGACCAACGAATTATCCCGAAGGAGTAAGTGAGTACCGGTATGGCATATATGTTAATAGCTTTAACTTTGTTTCTACCTGATAGAAGTGTTTTAAGTATTTTGTTTAACCTAGTTGTGTATTTGTTAGTTAATTCTGATTTAATTTTAGTATGATCTATATTTCGACTTTGATTATAGCCCAAGTACCTATAAGTTTCATGTTTATCAAGACTTTGTATTGTATCCATTTTTTGTTCTAAATTGTATGGTGGTTGCGTTTGGTGTTTTCCTTTTACAATACTGTTTATTTTACATTTATCAAGTCCAAATTTCATTCTTATATCGGTACTAAATGTTTCTGTAATTTTCAATAAATTGTTTAACTGTTGTCTGGAGGCGCCAAATAGTTTTATGTCGTCCATATATACTAAATGACTTAATATTGTTGAACTATTCCTATCAATTACATAGCCGTATTTACTTTTGTGAAGATTGTTTGACAATGGATTCAAAGCTAAGCAGAACCATAGAGGACTCAATGAATCACCTTGGAAGATACCACGTGATATAGTTATCTGTGGACTGTTGAGGTATTCAGTTTCTGTTTTAAGGTTTAGTGTTGTGCTCCATTTTTGCATTATGTGTTGTAGAAAATTAATTATTTTATCATTAATTTTATATATTTTAAGTACATGAAGTAACCAAGAGTGTGGAACACTATCATAGGCTTTTTGATAGTCAATATAGGCATAATATAAATTTCTATTTCGCCGTCTACATTGTGTGTGTACTTCTGAGTCTATCACTAACTGTTCTTTAGAACCTCTACCTCCTTTGTAGCACCCCTTCTGTTCCTCGGCCATTATTTTATTTTGAAATACATGTGTATATATCTTTTTTGTGATTATAGATGTAAGCAGTTTATATATTGTTGGTAAGCAGGTGATTGGCCGGTATTTAGCCGGGTTTGTGGTTTCATTATCTTTGGGTTTAAGATAAGTTATGCCACGTGCCAAAAAAAGTGGGGTCATTTGTGGATCCCTCATGTATGAGTTGAAAAT